CCATGCAAACCTGCCTAATTGTTCTCTCATCTGCTTTGTTCTTCCATTCCCCTCTCCCTTCTTGTATATTGCCCCCCTCTGCAGCACCCAAACTATCTTGTGTCTATTCCCTGCCCGGTCTCCACCTTCCCCTGCCTCTCTTTACCGGCTCCCCCCACCACATCCTAGTAACCAGCAAAGAATCCACCCCCCTTTAGTATGGGTTCTTTTTCTTAGTCTTTTACAGTAATGGTCCTATGCAGTATTTCTCCTTTTGTGACTGACTAATTTCACTCAACCTAATGTCCTCAAGGTTCATCCATGTTAAGCGGTGGCTTACAGCTCCCTTGTTATTTTTCAAGGTAGCATTGTGCATGTACCACAGTTTGTTTATCCATTCTTCAGTTGATGGGCACTTTCAAACCTTGATTCTTATTGGAATCACCACTAAAGATTCTGATTTAATTGGAACAGCCTGTGACTTCAGTACACAAGTTTTACAGTACCACAGATGATTTTTGTGGTGTCGTAGGATAAACACTGAATTGCTAGCCAAAAGGCCAGTAGTTCAAACATACCAATTGCGCTTCAAAAATTCTTTATGGGGTCTGAATGAGTTGGAACTCACTCAGTAACAGTTAACAATAAAAACAGTTGATTTTAATGTGCAGCCAATTGAGAACATATCATCTTTTAAGATTTTTCATTCATCAATGGCTAATTGTCATGTTTTCTTTTATTGCCAAGAAGATGTTGAGGATGTCAAAGTGATCAGAGAAAACAATAGACAATTGGTTTTTCAAAATACTCATGATGACATTTCTTTTGACACATTCTCTCAGTACATCACATTGCTGTTAACTGCACTTGGGTTGGTTCCTTGGCATTTGGTGAACCCACTGCACATCAGGAGAAAATGCTGCCCAGTCTACTACCATTCCCATTACTGATTGTGGATCAGACCACAGACCGTTGTGATCCATATTGTTTTAATTGCTTCATTTTTTACAAATAGTTTGTCAAGCCTTTCTTACTAGTTCATCTTAGTCTGTTATCTTAACTAAAACTTATTTAACATTGTAGACACACACAAGCCTCTAATAACAGGTAGTTTTTGCACATGAGCACATTGGTTGGAAAGCAAACCTGGTATTACACATGGAAGACGAAGGTTCTATCAATGAACCACCACTGCCTCCATTCTGCACAGCAGAGAGTTGATCATATGTGATTTTTGATAACTTATTGTGTTCTCACTTCAAACGTATCCGTCTATACTTTATTTCTTGATGAAGGGCAAGAGAGGAGAGGGTCTTTAAATCACTGAATTCCCATCTGTATTTATTATTAGGTTCTCCCAAAAAGTATCACTAAAGATTACTAGATCCTATTAGTGTTGAAATTTTCCTTATGCCTATATCCCCATTCCTTGTTATGGTGGCTTTTTATTGCAGTTGCTGTTGTTAGGAACCCTCAAGTAGATACCAACTCATTACTACCCTCTGCACAAAAGAACAAAACACTGCCCAGTCTTTTGCCAAATTCATGATCATTGCCGCACTTGAGCCCATTGCTGCTGCCACTATGCCAATCCATCTCATTGGGAGT